GACCATAGGACACTGAAAATTAGGCTTCCCGTCCGCTCAGCCATATACAAGCAGTGTACCGGCGGATTAGTAGTTAGGTGGGTGACCACTAGCGAATCCCCGCTGTTGTATGTTTTTGTTTTTGCTTATCATAGTGGAGGTGGAGCGGGTAAGGATGTTTTGGTGGCCGAGTACTGGCCGAGCGACAGCTTTGACGATCGACCAATGATAACATATAGTATAGATACAGTTTTTTGGGAGTCGGAACATCACTCATGTCGTCCAACGCCCTTTTCGTTGCAAAGGTCAAATGTGGTCGTCGACTCAGCATTGGAAACGTCAGTACTTGCATATCATGAATTGTACCTAGCCCTCCAACCACAACCACTCTAGAACGACAGTGTCTGCCCTGCCTCCTTGGTAACAGCAGCCTTGACATTCGCGCTTCCCAGCAACTCATACTTATAAGGAAAGCTTTGCGCATTGAGCTTACCCAGAGGCGCTGTGTTGGCGCTCTGTCCGCCGAACAGGACGTCCTCAACAACTGCAAATCCATCTTCCGCACTGCTCTCCGTGTAGACCATCTTCTTGCCACTGTTCTCAAAGACGGTGCTTTGAACCAGAGCTTGCGCACCCATGCGGGAGTTCACGCCCGTGGACTGCTCGTTGTAGTAGTTGTTGAAGATGTGCGCTGTGCCGAAACGCAGCAGTGGACCGCGACTGTTGACGCGGTAGAAGTGATTGTTTGCATATGTTACGCGGAGATGGCCGGTATCTTCAGCGGCATTCTTGTCGGAGTGCCCTACGAGTGTGCCTTTGGACTGTTTCGCGTTAGCCCTCGTCCAGCATCACAGAGGGACGTGAGAATATAGAACATACATGGTTGTGGAAGTAAGTGTTGGAGATGGTGACAAAGTCCGCAGCATGCGAAAGGTCGACCAAGCCGTCATAGGTGTCTTTGCCCACCGACTCATCACCAGAGTAATCACAATGGTCGACCCACACATTCGTAGAAAGCTGAATGGTGGTGCCATCGCCGTAGGCAGCAGGCACTTTGCTGATCTTCATATTTCGCACGATGACATTTTTCTGGCCTAGAATCGTGAGACCAATGCCAGTGAGGGCTGTAAAGTGTCAGTCAGAGATCAGCGAGACAGGTGGACATTAAGGGCATACAGCTTCCAGTCTTCCCGATGATGGTCTTATCCGAGCTAACCTGGACCTTTGCGGCACCACTGATGGCTCCTTGGACGACAATGTTCAGAGGCCCAGTGGAGTTGGCCGCAGCCGACAGCTGGGGCAAAGTGCTGACAGTGGTAGTAGGACCGCCAGCTCCGCCTTTGGTGCCTCCATTTGCCATCGCATAGCCAATGTTAGCAGCATCTGTAATGCTAGCTCTCTTCTGCAGGGCCTTTGCCGGTTCTTCCTGGATGGTTGGAGTAGGTGATGCTGTGACTGCGGTCACCGCGAGGAGGACGAGAGATGTAGGGAGTTTCATGACTAGTGATGTTGTGATGTTGTGTATGTTCTGCTGGAGATTACACGAACATACTGAAGTTGCATTATGTATAAGCTATCGGCGTTTGAACCGCAATAATTGTTGCTATTCATCCACACGAAGCTGAAAGTGTGGCTTGTTTTCCGACAGCTTCATATCAACGATGAACTCTCTTAGGTGGGATTCGATCGCGAACGGCGCCGCGGGAGCATCCGCATGCACCAGGCACCATGCGTCTCTCCACATGACCAATTTGTGGCTTGATACGGCTGCTCAGACGTGTATTAGGGCTATACCCGAGCGTTGGCTGATGTATGCGAAACATCTTGGTCCCGGAGAAACCTCTGGTTGGAGGAAGTCGAAAAGCTCCGATGACCCCAGATTTCTGTTCGCTCAATATCGAGAGGCAGAGTCTGGGGAAGGTGTTGGCTCTAGGAAATTCTGCGGGGAAGGTTCTTCTTTGGTAAATTTTGAATAAATGCATTAGCGGATGAGGCGCATGATTCCAGTCGACGCTGATCCAAGTTGGCTCCCAGCGTCTTCCAAAATGTACTCCGCAAGCGTGCGATACATGGGTTCGACACGTCGGAAACCTGAAGGTAGTTGAAAGCATTTTGAGATAAAGTCATTTGGAAATCTGAGGTCGTGTCATGAACTGCGACCTAACTGACCGCGACACCTCTTGTGAACACGACCATGCGTACAGACGCGACCCTGATTTTTAACTCCAACGATGTCTCTGATATCCAGCATTCGTTCCACCGACCATAATGTTTGCATTCCCGTTGGCTACTGCAAATCCTGCGCACCTTCCGTCAGGCCTTGTGCAGCCATCAATGCCCGCTAAGATTCCTACCGCCACATCGATGCTACTTAGTGTGTCAGATTGGTTATCACCAAGGGTGGCAGAAGCCGAGCATACCAGTAGCTACTCTCGTGGCCTCCTGTTCGACCTATACCAACGACGACAGTGTCGATTCCATGCCAACACAATGCTCTCGCCTCCCTATTCTCAAACTCGCAGGGCGTCCGGCCTAGGCTCCGAAGATAGTGGTAGCAGACGATGAGGTTTTCGACGCTAGTGTAAGCGCTGTCCTCTGGTCCGCATGCCAGTTCGTTGTCCGAGGTGGTTATTTGAGCTGAAGAGTATTAGGTGATGTCACATACGAGTACATGGCCCATGAACACGAAGTCTTACCAGTCGAACCTCCCGGCAACGGCAACTCATATAGGTCAGCTGAAGTCAGGTTAAGAGATTCTAGTGACGGAAGCCCTGGACCCGGGATGACTTCAGGTCGATCGTCAGGAATTATAGCGGCATGAATGGTCAACGTCAACAGAAGTGAGACTTGAGAGAACACCGTGAGAAGCATGATGGGGGACGAAACGCTTCGAGTGCGTCCAAGATTCCCTTTGCCTATTCTAACCGGGGAGAAAGATATATTTGCATGTGTATATTCCTCAATGTAACGTCGCGATATTCACGAACATCTGCTGTTCGTCGCTTTATTGATGGCGTCCATTGTTGGTGCTTCCAGTAGACTTCATGTTCGCTTGCTTATACACTTCGCATACATTAGCTTCGGGAACAGACCGTACAGACTGGCGTGATCTACCAACCAGTATAACTTAGCATATTTGCTAGAATATTTCTGCAGACTCGTTGGACATCATGATAGACTGTGTGCGCCCAAGGTTGCTAGCTGTGAGCCCTAGCGGTTGACAACTCATGCGATCACGGGTCAGCACATGCTCGTGCTACAATGCGCAAACCACTTCAAACAAAAGGCCTTCCGCAAAAGTCCAATTCATGTCGTGCTATAGGTCTGCTTGTACCTTGCGTGATTGCGGATGGTTGCAGTTGTCGCGAACGGCGTCATGTCGTAGTGGTGACACCGACTCAACTTCCAGGATATCCACCTGGTCGGGATCTGATCAGGACCTGGCTGGAAGAAATGCGTTCGGCTTGTTATGAAATCTAAAATCGATCCAGCATGCGTTCCGAGTATGAATGCGAGTGCGGAGTTGGGATCTCCGAGAAATAACCGGGGACGGAGAAAATGGGGATCCTCCGAGAATAATCCAGCATGTCGAAAAGAACACTAAACTCGTTCCTAAAGTCTGGAAAGCAGCCGCTACCTGCGAGTATAAAGCGCGTGTTGTTAACGGAAATGAACGTCATCGCGTGATGCAACAGAACACAGATACAATGCAAATGCAATATCACCATGTTTCTACCTATCTCTCCCTAACCTCTCCTCGTAGTCATCTACCAGTTCGTATGCCGGCCTGAACTTGGGCTTCGGGGCGCCGTTCTCTCTCTCAGCTTGCGGTACTTGTTGCGTAGACGGTTGGCGCACGAGCTTCGGGTTCGGGTGCGTATCAGTCGTCCCGCCTAACGAGGTGTATCCACGGTCGTATAGAGAACAGTAGGGTATGTTGAGGAAGCGTATAAACTAGATGTGTCAGTAAGCAGGTACGAAGTCGCATAACTCCCACGTACCGTCCATATATCCACGTAGTGCCAGTCTATGACGGGATGTATCCGTACAAAGGCCGGCCACCCTGAGTCTGTTGGGTCGAAATGCTTCAAATGCTCGCCATGCGGATCCGTCCGCCGTGTCCCCACTAATATCGCCTTGACCGACGGAGTGTCTTTTAAGTAGTCGGCAAAGGCCGCTTTCATAGGCTTTGCATATTCCAAAAGGGCAAGCGAGTATATCTTGCTGCTATGCGCGACAAACTCCTCGACCTCGGGAAAGGGATGCGCGTCTTGTATGTATACGCACTGCACCGCGGTCTCGATGCTGGACGAGGGATTCGACGTCTGCGTCAGGCCCCGTCTGTGCATGGCGCAGAGGTATAGCACGAGAAGGACGAGGCAGTCTTTGCCGCCATTATACGATAGGGAGAGCTCTGGCAGACTACATAGCTGTCAGTCCCCAGCTGCCGCACCGCCCCGCAGTGTAGTCACCAACCTGTACTTGTCCAGTGCCTCCCCTATGACGCTCAGCGACGTGCGCGTCTGCTCCTGCACATTCTTGACGCGCTCTGATACATCCTTGGCGTCGAGAAACGTAGCTATGCGGTCATTGATGCGCGTGCATAGCTCGTGGAAGGGCAGCGGGGTATCGGAGACGAGGGGATCTGAAAATCCAGAGGCGGTGTTCATTGCAATAAAGGTACGCTAATCACGACATCAGATGCAGATGCATGCGATTACGGTAAGGGCAAGTATGGTGTCGACGATTGGTCGTACGGGCGTGCTGGTTCATGCCATGATGCATGTGTCGGCCATGCCAGGAGAGGCGAACAGGTGGAGGTAGCCTGTGCTCCTATCGATAAGGCTGGTCCTCGGCACGTCTCGATGCGGCAAGGCGGCGCTGCCCTCACCTGGCCACTCAGACATGCGGGAGTAAGCATCACGACCACCGTCGGCCAGGACTCCACCACGAGATGCACTATGGGTGAAATTCGGTCCTCAGCCTCGCGTCGAGCTTGACAAGCAGATCTAGCCAAGTGCATTACACCGAACTCGCGCATCTATGATGGTCTGATTCGCCGCTCTTCGGCCCTCGCCCCAGACCCTGAAGTGCACTAAAATATTGCGTGCTTTCGGCACGCGTTGTCATGACCTCTTAAAGGGAATTTTTCCATTGCCGTTGCCGCTGACTATGAGGACTGTCGCCGACGGTCCGAACTATTACTACTCCTCGTCTCCCCCGTAGACATTTCCTTACTGTTACCGTCAACCCTGAATTTGCAGTCAATATGGGGTCCATCTCGACTGCAGGAGAGGCCGGTATGTCCCCGCAATCATTCGCCCCGCCATTGCCTCTACCCCAGCACGTCGTTGCACCAGAGCAGTTGGAGGGTCCAAGGTTACATATACTGACTTTTGTATTGTGTAGTGGCCCGAATTGCCCACTTGGCCTCCGACGTGATTGTGTCGGTCGTCCCTTCCTTCGAGGCCGAATCTGAGTTCTCCGAGCCTCTGCGAGGACTACAGAAGCACAACGCGCCTAGCGTTGTTTGCAAGACACAACCAGAGGTATGTCTGCATGATTTGGTCGTATCCGATGCAATCGTACTAACTTTCTCCCCAGATCCTTACAGTCCGCCAAAATGCGGATCCCCTTCTCTCTGTTTTCCAGCCCATCCGCGCGGGCAAGCTCACCAGCGTCACCACAACCTCTTCCATCCTTGTAAAGTCGATACCACACCTATACAAGCTCGCCCAGTACCCTGTCGTTCTCCACGTATCGGTAGCGCCATCGGGCTTCCCCGACTTCTCCGACATCACCTCCATCCGGCAATCTGGATTCGCCTTCATCCAGTCGGAGACACTGCAGGAGTTGCAGGATCTTGCTCTGACTGCACATGCCTTGGCTATCAAGTCGGGCAAGGGTGTCATTCACTTCTTCGACTCAGGCGCGACTGCTTTCAAGAAGACTGTTGAAGTCGAAGATGCCGACCTGGTCCGGAGTGTCATCGACCTGGACGCGGCGGCGGCATACCAGAACACCAAGTCAGAGGAGACATCGCTATACGCCGATGATGGCAGGAGTTCAACACTGTCCTTCGCTCGGAGCCAGGCTGTCAACGCCGCCCCAGCAGCAACATCAGCTAGCGCTCCTGAGCAGGCCAAGTCACTTCCGGCATCGGAGAGGAACAGCGAGCGCGCCGAGTCGTCCTCTGGTTCATCACAGCGCGATGCTAGCACAAGCGGCGCGTCCGTGTCCTCTGCAACCACTGTCGAATCTCTGATCTCAAAACCTGTCTCATCCGAGGACATCTACCGCTTCGCCACACAGATCTGGGGAACCATTCGGGATGCCACCGGTCGAAGCTACGATGCATTCGCGTTCTCTGGTACTGGCACCGAGGAGGCCGCCATCTTCCTCTTCGGTGCTGACACTGCTGTGTTTGCCACCGAGCTGGATAGTGTCGAGGAGACCAAGGCATATGCCAACACAGCCGTCATCACCGCGAGGTTATACCGCCCCTGGTTGGGTGCCTCACTTGCGCCTATGCTTCCCTCATCGCTCAAGAGGATCGCTGTGCTAGAGCAAGTTCGAAGAAAGACTACCCGCTGGGGCCCTGTACTGCTCGACCTTCTGATGTCCCTGAAGTCGACTGGCGGTGCCTCCCCCATGGTTGTAGGATACCAACTCGGCTACATCAACGAGGAGACTGTGTCCCAAGCGATGCGCGGTGTCTTCCAGAACTTGATGAGCGAGACACCTGTGCAGAACCTCGTCATCGGTAACCTCGATGGCCCGGAGCCCCAGGCTATCAAGGCCGAGCAACCAGGGTTAGAGAACGCCTACATGAAGATCTTGAACCAGGTCTTTGGTGAGAAGCTCCACATTGCTAACCAGCTTGGTTCGCAGCACGCCGGCATCTCCAACGAGATCTCCTCTTCCCCGGAGTACGGATTCGGCTCACTAGTAGCACGCAAGGAGCACCGAAGGCGATTGGTAGACGAGGCTGCGGCTGCTTCCAAGGAGAATGCTTTCACTACACAAGCACCTAAGGAGTGGCTATCTAAGTGGGCACTCAACGCCGATGACACTGACAAGGCCAACGAACTTGCTTCTGAAGTCATCGCTCGTCTGGGCACCGACGGCTCGCCCGTTGCCAGCCAACTGTTGTCGTCGAAGAAGCTCTTCTACAAGGAATCTCCGTGGTTGATTGGGTCAGACGCTTGGGCGTATGACCTCGGAAACTCTGGTGTCCACCACGTACTGGCCTCTGGCGAGAATGTCAACATGCTCATTGTCGACTCAACCCCCTACTCTGAGCGCGCAGCTGCTGACGCCGCGAGGCGCAAGAAGGACATCGGTCTGTACGCAATGAACTACGGAAATGCCTACGTCGCATCGGTCGCTGTATACAGCTCTTACACCCAGGTCTTGGAGGCTATGATCGAGGCCGACAAGTTCGACGGTCCATCCGTTGTGCTTGCATACCTCCCTTACGAGAAGGAGAACGACACACCCCTGACCGTTCTGCAAGAGACCAAGAAGGCTGTCGACCTTGGCTACTGGCCCCTGTACCGATGGGACCCACGTGCTGAGGAGAAGGGCGAGGAGAACTTCAAGCTTGACTCAGAGCGCATTAAGAAAGAGCTGGAGGAGTTCCTCTCCCGCGACAACTACATGTCCCAGGTCATGAAGAGACATCCCGAGTTCTCGTCCAACATCTCTGGATCATACGGCACTGAGGTCAGGCAACTGCAAAAGCGCAAGGCCAAGGATGCCTATAGCAAGCTTCTCGATGGTCTCCAGGGCGACCCAATGACCATTCTCTTCGCTTCCGACAATGGCAACGCTGAAAACCTAGCCAAGCGTCTTGGAAACCGTGGCAAGGCTCGAGGTCTCAAGACCATGGTCATGGCCATGGATGATTTCCCGATCGAAGACCTGCCCAATGAGCAGAACGTTATCCTGATGACCAGTGTAGCCGGTCAGGGAGAGTTCCCCCAAAACGGTCGAACGTTCTGGGAAACCGTCAAGGACTCCACCGATTTGGATCTTGCGACAGTCAACTTTGGTGTCTTCGGTCTCGGTGACAGCCACTACTGGCCACGCAAGGAGGACAAGATCTACTACAACAAGCCCGCAAAGGACCTTCATGCTCGTCTTCTTACTCTCGGTGGCAAGCCTTTGGCGGAGTGTGGTCTTGGTGATGACCAAGACCCGGACGCCTACCAGACTGCGTACGCCGAATGGGAGCCAAAGCTCTGGGAGAAGCTCGGCGTTGCCAACGTCGAGAACTTGCCCGAGGAACCAGCGCCGTTGACCAATGAGGATATGAAGGCCGCTTCAAACTTCCTCCGAGGTACTATCGAGGAGGGTCTGGCCGACACCAGCACCGGTGCCATCTCAGCAAGCGACCAACAACTCACCAAGTTCCACGGCACCTACATGCAGGATGACCGTGATCTTCGTGACCAACGCAAGGCGCAGGGTCTCGAGCCAGCGTATTCCTTCATGATTCGTTGCCGACTACCTGGAGGTGTCTCTACGCCTAAGCAGTGGCTGCAGATGGACGAAATTAGCACAAAGCTCGGTAACGAGACCATGAAGCTGACCACTCGACAAACCTTCCAGTTCCACGGCGTCGTAAAGGGCAAGCTCAAGCCAGCTATGCAGGCCATTAACAAGGCGTTGATGACCACCATCGCAGCTTGCGGTGATGTCAACCGAAACGTCATGTGCAGCTCTCTGCCGACTCAGTCAAAGTACCACGGCCAGGTCCACAACATTGCACAGAAGATCAGCGACCATCTCCTTCCCTCTACCACTGCTTACCACGAGATCTGGTTGGAGGACGACGAGACAAAGCAGAAGCGCAAGGTTGCTGGTGAGGCTGTCCAGGACCACGAGCCTCTCTACGGCCCTCTCTACCTCCCACGAAAGTTCAAGATCACCATTGCCATTCCTCCTCACAACGACACCGATGTGTACGCTCACGACATTGGTCTCATCGCAATCAAGGGCGAAGACGGAAACCTTGTAGGTTTCAACGTCCTCGCCGGTGGCGGCATGGGTGTCACGCACAACAACAAGAAGACATACCCGCGAACCGGAAGCATGTTTGGCTACGTCCCAACCGAGCAGGTGCATCTTGTTTGCGAGAAGATCATGCTCGTCCAGCGCGACCACGGTGACCGCAAGAACAGGAAGCACGCCCGTCTCAAGTACACCATCGACGACATGGGTGTTGATGTCTTCAAGGGCAAGGTTGAAGAGCTCTGGGGTCAGAAGTTTGACGAGCCCAAGCCCTTCAAGTTCCAAAGCAACATCGACACCTTCGGTTGGCAAAAGGACGAGACTGGCCTTAACCACTTCACCTTCTTTATTGAGAACGGCCGCATTGAGGACACTGCCGACTTCCCCATGAAGACTGGTCTCATCGAGGTGGCCAAGGTACACAAGGGCGAGTTCCGGTTGACTGGTAACCAGCATTTGATCCTAGCCAATGTCGCCGACGAAGATCTGCCGGCCATGAAGGAGCTGCTGAAGAAGTGGAAGCTTGATAACACCAACTTTTCTGGTATGAGGCTGTCTAGTTCCGCCTGTGTTGCCTTCCCCACTTGCGGTCTTGCCATGGCCGAGTCAGAGCGTTACCTGCCTGAGCTCATCTCCAAGCTTGAGGGTACACTTGAGGAATCTGGTCTGCGACAAGACAGCATTGTCATGCGCATGACTGGTTGCCCCAACGGTTGCGCACGTCCATGGCTCGCCGAGGTTGCTTTCGTTGGAAAGGCCTATGGCGCGTACAACATGTACCTTGGTGGTGGTTACCATGGCCAAAGGCTGAACAAGCTTTACAGGAGCTCGATCAAGGAGGAAGAGATTCTGGAGATTCTGCAGCCGATGATCAAGCAATACGCCAAGGAGAGGAACGACGGAGAGCACTTTGGTGACTTCGTCATCAGGAAGGGTTACATCAACGAGACCACGCACGGAACAAACTTCCACGACAACGTAAGTTGACTTAGGTCATAAATACACGACATGTATGCTAACATTATCACAGACTGCGGAACAAGAGTCAGATGGCGAGTAAACCACAGCCATGTGGAGGACAGGTTTCATAGGATTTTCTTCGCGTTCGTCGATCTTACGACAATTTATGATCATTTCATGGCGTTTCATGGGGAAGCCCAAGCGGTTGGGGAAAGTTATGTCTATACTTTATGACTGCTCGTATGATTAAAAGGAATGAATGATACCACAGCAAGTGTTTGATACTTCTATCACAGCTTTTTAGCGATTGCCGGGATTGTTCACTGTTTTGGTGTTGTGTCACGCCACCTTCGGGCGCTCCCGTGCCACCTCAACAAGAGACAAGGGGCTCTAGAACATGTGGCATCCTGCACATCGTTACTGTTGTTGACGTTACCTGCAGCTTCAGCACGAGCCAGTGCGCATAAACATGGAATTACAACGATACGTCAACCGGAGGCGCCTTCGCCTGATGACCGCTCTGAAACTTCCAGCACCAATAACAGCATCACCTGTTGGTGTGCCCACTGGAAGCCCTTGTCTTTACTTGAAAAAAATTGCAGAACAAGCACCGCACGCTTAGATGTCGCAAAGACTGTTTCGACCATCCTTCGATCCAGAACAGGGCAATGAGTCCTCGATTACCCTAGCAGAGGAGGAGCAAAGACCGACAACCTTTCTAGAGAGACTTGAGCACTTCACATGGGTACATACCAAAGAAACCTAGTCGTGTCTTGACATGTTCATGGGCTAATTGTTTCGACGCGCAGGCATGGTTCACGCTCCCAATGTCAACTGGCGGCTTAGCGCTGCTGCTTCATCCCGACAACCAGGCCAACACATTTTCCGGTCTCCTTGCCATCGGAAGGGCGGTTTATGTCTTCGAAATCATTCTTTTCGTAGCAGTTGCATGCGCCATAAGCCTCCGTTTTGTACGATACCCACGATTACTCAAGGAAAGCTTGATCCACCCTTCTGAAAGCCTCTTCTTTGCAACATCCTTCCTTTCTCTCGCCAGCATAATCGGCGGTATGCACCTGTATGGCTTGTCAATATGTGGAGCATGGCTTCTTGTCACCTATCGTATCTTGTTCTGGCTTTACTTTACGGCTACCTTTATCGTAGCCATCTGGAGCTATTACTCCCTCTTCTCATCACCAGCTCTTAAGATCCAAGACATGACACCTGCCTGGGATCTGCCCATATTTCCCTTCATGTTATCTGGAACGCTGGCTGCTATCGGTGCAGGACATCAAGCAGAGGCGCATGCAGTTGCCATGATTGTCGCCGGACTTACAGCACAGGGCTTGGGTATGACTGTAAGCCTACTCATGTATGTCATGTACGTTCATCGGATGATCGAATGGGGCTTTCCTAGTTCAAAGAGCAGACCGGCAATGTTCATCGCTGTTGGGCCGCCCGCGTTTACTTCGCTGGCGATTATCGGCATGGCCAGGGCGTGGCCAGCGACTACTACCTTTTTTGGCGTAGGTGGGCAAGCTACGGCTCGCATACTGGAGTTGCTTGCGACGATGGTGGCAGTGTTCATCTGGAGTTTGGCACTCTGGTTCTTTTGCATCGCGCTGTTGAGCATACTTGCTGTGGCTAAAGAGATGACGTTTCGTCTTAACTGGTGGGCGTTTGTGTTTCCGAATGTTGGCTTCACACTTGCGACCATCAAGATTGGAGATGTATTTGAAAGTAGGGTAGTGGGCTGGGTGGGCAGCTTTCTGACGATGTGTCTTGTCGCTACGTATGTATTCGTGTTTACGATGTGCGCAAGGGCAGTAGTCAAGCGGGAGATATTAATTGAAGGCAAGGATGAAGACACGTACGTCGGCGAGGAGAAGCCAAAGGTTAGACGGGGCGAAGAAACTGTAGTGAAAGCCCAAGAGAAGCATGTATGATAGAGTGGAGATTATGATGGGCTCGTAAATCCACATCTTCAATCGTCGTTCCTAAACTCTCTGGTGTAATTCTTGGTCCTTGGCCGAACCAACCACACCTTTCCAATGCCATCTCTCTTTTTAAGGGCTTAATCTTTCGATCTTCCACTCCGCCTCCTTGATCCCCTTCGCATCTTCCTCCCCGCCGACCTTCCTGTAGACAAACCGGTCGTGCAACCGGCTTGGTCGTCCTTGCCAAAACTCCATCATCTGTGGCACAATTCTCAGCCCGCCCCAAAACTCCGGTACTGGGATCTTGTCCTTGCCACTAAACCTCTTCTCCACGTCTTCCACTCTCTTCTCTAGCTCCTCTCTTGACTCAATCACACTGCTTTGCTGACTGGCCCATGCCCCGATTCTTGAGCCGCGGATCCTCGTATCGTAGTAAACCTGCGATTCCTCGGACGTAAGGCGCTCCACAGTTCCTTCAACGCGGACCTGGCGTTCAAGTTCGCGCCAGTGGAAAGTCAATGCCGCATGCGGATTACTTCGCACGTCGCTCGCTTTGCGACTCGTATCCCAGTTTGAGTAAATGACGAAGCCGCGATCGTCCAGCTCTTTCATATACAGTGTTCGTGCTGAGACTCTGCCGCTGGGTAGTTCGGCGGTGGATAAGGTGACGGTCTCCGGCTGGTAAACGTTGTTGGCCTGGGCTTCCTGGAACCACTTGTGGAATTGATCGGTTGGAGAGGGAAGGAGATCATCACGGTCTAGGGCGCCTTTGTTGTATTGGGTTGCATGGCCAGGGTCTTCAGAGTTGCTCGTAGGCGCGAAGATCTTCTTCGCTGATTCAGTAGCTGAATGCAGCATACTTTTCGGTCGGCGCTGGGTCGTCTGGGGGTAATTCACACTTGGAAGCGATGCGCGTTGGCGTATGTAACCTGCACTACCGACGATGCTTGTAGGTCTTTTTAGGGGATTTGTACACCTGAGTACAAGCATTGATTTCTGTAGGGTGTGGTGGAGATTGATACGTCGAGTGACTCGTGGCGTGATTCAAGCGATGCAATTGCTAGATGAGTCCTCACGATCGGAGCGAAGTGGGGTGACGTAACGAGGTGCTATTGCTCCACTTAGGATCTCACACAAACCTCACGCATCCACCAACTATGAAGGAGCAAGGGCTCAAGGCTCATATATAGCTGTTACAATGTTTCGAGAATATTCTTGCTGGAGAAATCATCACTGCCGCAGCGTAGAGCCGTGAAGCCTTCTTGTACGCCAAGCCAATAAACGGCCCGTGTGAGATGTGTTTACTCGTTGCGCTGCGACCTCAGAAAACCCCTTTGCCTGTGCTGGAGGAACGATAAACTGAAGGTCATGTCTCGAGAAGCTAATAGTAGAGTTATACAAGCCATACCCCTTAGGATCGAGTAGGCCATAGTGTGTGTACTGGTCATGAAATTCTAACGACTAGAGCTAACTCAGTATCATATAGACAGTGAAGGAGAGAAGCTAAAGAGATGGTCTTCGGAACTGTGATCGTGATAAACATAGTGATTCAGAAGAATCATATCCAGGGCGACACACTTACCCTTCTGCTGTGCTTCCGTTACCTCAGGCCTCTTTATCTCTCTAACGACTTCAACTCTGGATACCACGATTGAAATGATATCGAACACTGTTGCGGTGTTCCTGATGTGTTGCGAAATGATAAGTACCAGAAGACATACCTGCTGCGTCGCAGAACTACGTTGGATCGCGCGAACAGTACCTAGGTGCTTAACCTACATGCTTGAACAGCGAAGTGAGTTGTCATCCCGGGCTTCTACATCAGGGTACTGAAAGGTTCCTCTCTCATGCGCGGTGTTTGGAACGGTTCTGCCCTGGAGCCACAGGAAGCATTGCAGAGGCTACAGATGGCGACACATGTTTTGCGATGGGCCGTCTCGAAGATAAGAGTAAGCGATTTAGCCAGTAATTACTTGAACACGACAAGCTGAAGGATGATGGGATGATGCTGGCCTGGTGCGATGGAGTTGAATTGGGCGCGACGAGCTCTAGGAGATCTTGAGGGACTGAAAGGGGTTAGGCAAGGACCCTTACATGTGGATGCCCCACCACAAGCCGCCAACCCTGCGGACATCCGCTTACTTCATACACCTATCTGGCGGTAACAATGCCCGACTCAACTACCTACCGATACGACCTGGGCTCCTACCGTCGAAAGATCAGCACCTCTAGCTCGAAAGCACAGGAATGGTTTGATCGCGGCTTGGTTTGGTGTTATGCGTTTCACCATGAAGAGTCCGCCCGATGCTTCGAACGGGCTATCGACGAAGACCCAAGTTGCGCGATGGCTTATTGGGGTGTAGGTCACTGACATAGTCGGGATATTTTTTGGTTCCCCAGCTGATTACCACAGCTCGCGTTCGCCCTCGGGCCGAATTACAATAAACCTTGGGACTTGTTTGATGAGAAAGAGCTCAAGGCCACACTAAGAAAAATAAATGAAGCGAACGAAAAGGCCACACAACACGCACCCAAGTCTACGGATATCGAAAGAGCACTAATCGATGCCGTGCAAGTGCGTGTGCCGAAAGGTCTAGACGAGGCTGCTTTTCAGGCGTGCAACGAGGAATATGCCGAGGCCATGAGGAGCGTTTACGGGAATTTCTCTAGTGACCTCGACATCGCTTCGCTTTATGCAGACTCCCTCGTATGCCTCTCGGCATGGAATCTCTGGGATCTCAAGACAGGCGAGCCAACGCCTGGTGCTCGCTCATTAGAGGCCAAGGCTGTGCTCGAGAAAGCTTTGCAGCAAGAAAGCTCACACAAACATCCAGGAGTTCTCCATCTGTACATTCATCTCATGGAGATGTCAGCGACGCCGGAAGTAGCCCTTGTCTATGCCGATCATCTAAGAAAACTTACCCCGGACGGAGGACACTTACTGTAGGTATACGTTGAATTGTAAGCGAAGTACGTACTAACGCCATACAACCACAGACATATGCCGTCCCATCTGGACATCCTTGTTGGTGACTATCGACGTGCCATTGATGCTAATGCGGATGCCTGCCGTGCTGACGAGAAGTACGTTGCCGAGCACGGGGCGAGAAACTTCTACTCATTCTACATGATGCACAACTATCACTCGCTCGTGTATGCAGCC